AAAAACCTTGGAAATTAAAAGCAGAGTGGTAAAAAGTCTCTCCGTCTCCTTGATGATTCGAGTTAGGGGAATTTCACTGTATAAATTCTACTTATAAGATCGTTCTAATTCAAAAGCACGGCAATTGCTTTGGTTAGTGTTACTTAAAAAGTAAAATGTGACAAAACACCTAACATAGAACTTGACCATTGTGCAGTTTTGTCTACTTGTGGAAAAACATGATTAGTCATCGCTTCTAATGTGACAGGAACGAGTTCTAAGCCTGGCACTTGCAGTCCAAACAAATTATATACGAACTATAAACTAATTAAAAAGAAATTCGAATATTTCCTAAGACCACTAATGATTAGTACATGGCAATATTCGAAATAGCGTTGTATGGTCAGCCAAATTGCAATAAATGAATTAAAATTTTTTTTTTTTTATTTTCTTTGCTTATCCAATCCGTCTAACTTTTAATTTCTTTTCGTCATAAAGACGCGTCACTCTCGTCGAGAAAAAATTAACATTATAAATTCTATGTAATTGTGAAAATGTCCTAATTCATTAATAGTTTTTTTCTTATTTGCAAGATTACTGAGATATCGACTATTAGAATTGACAATTTTGACATATTTTATAATTTGTTTAAAATTTTTTTAAAATGTTAAAATATATTAAATGTTAAGAATGTCAGAATATATAATGCGTTTGGAAATAATTTAAGTGAATTATTTATTCGATTAATTTTTGTGTATGCTTGGCAGCCCTAAATAAAATGTTATAGCTTATATTCCGCTCATACAGATCGCTACAGCGACTTGTTACTTAAATGGTAACCTTAATGGAAACCTTAAAAGTTATTTCTATATAATAGGCATATATTCTGCTCCATTATATAGAAATTACATAGTAATAATACCTATGCAGATTAATGACCGAATTCGGAAAAATATTGATTAATGACACATTCTGAATTTCAAACAAATCTGAAGCATATGTAGATATATTTTGTTGGGCTTAAGTATAAGGTATTACGTCTTTCAACACTAAAAAAAATTTTTTTTAATTTTTCCTTTCATTTTTATTTACCTTTTCTTTTTTATTATAATATAATAATTTTATAAATATTAATTAATTTTATACTTTCTATTATAATAATTGTATTGTATTACACAATATGCTCTATTGGTAAATATATATGTATATATTTCGTTTTGTCTTACTAATTGATGTCTTTTATATACATTTATTGTGTATATAATTCCAATAATTTCGTTTTTTCCTCAATAGTTTTGTTATTTAGTTTAATGCAAATGTATGTATAATACAAAAGTTTAACTAAATTGTATTGAAAACGATATAAAATAAATTAATTAATCAGATTTTTTTTGCCCCACTGTAGTTTCAATGCTTTTTATTGATTATTGCATTGAATAATAAAAAAAATTAACTATTAAAAATTCGTCAAGAAAGTTTTTGCATATTACAAATATAAAATTAACTAAAAGTGCTTATTTTATTTAAGTTTTTTTCAAATTAATTAATAATATGAACTGATAAACCATAAAAAATATGAGTTATTGTATATGTAAGAAGCAATCGATTTTATATAAATATTTTGAAATAATATATATGAAAACATTATTTTTATTTTGATTAATTTTATACAAAAAGTAATAAAAGAAATAATAAAAACTAAAAAAAAAAAATTAACTAATAAAATGTTATTTGCGTTTCACAAACAATTTCTTCACTTGTATAAAAAATTAAATTTTTAATCACCTCAATATAAAAAAAAATTAAGAAGTCCGAGTATATACTTTTTATATTTTAAAGGTTCCAACGTTTAAACTTCCTGTTTGGGCAGCAAAAATGTCATTAATATTAATATAAATAAAGAATTTATTTATATAAAAAATGAAATACAATTAATTAATGAGTTTTAAAAAATAAAAAAAAAGTAACAAACGAAAATAATTGATAAAAAAAGCATGAAGAGATGTTAAATAATTTTTCGAATTATTTTTATTATAATAATATATATGTTGTAGGACACAACCCTATTAAAAATTAAATTGATATATACATTGTGACCGAAAAGTTTTCGGAAATTCTCATTTAAAATTCGCGCGCTGTATATTTTTCGATATTTTAAGTTTATGTAGTTTGGCAGCACTGTCCTTAATTACTATGCCAAAAATGAGCGCGATCTGTCAGACAGTTCGTTTACGTCAGCGTTAAACCAGTTCACCTCAGATTGGTTGCGAAACAATGGAAAAAAATATTGATCAAAGAGTTTGCATCAAATTTTGTGTTTCGAACGAATTTTCGTGTGCAGAATCGTTGCGAATGCTACAAAAGGCTTATGGGGAATCAGTTTTATCGAAAACTCAAGTTTATGAGTGGTACAAAGCCTTTCAGGACTGTCGTACGACCGTCGAAGACATGCCGCGTTCTGGACGACCTTCGACCTCTACCACCGACGAAAACATTGAAAAGGCAAAGGAAATCGTGTTCAAAAATCCTCATGTGAGTGTTAGAGAGATAGCACGAGAGCTAGGCATCGGTCGTGAGATGGCTCGTTTGATTTTGGTGGACAATTTGTGTATGCGACGTGTCAACGCTCGGCTTTTTCCGATTCACCTCAATTTGTTCCAAAAACACCATCGTGGACAGGTCTCGTTAGACATGCTTGATCGTGCCAATTCCGATCCAACTTTCATGGAACGCATCATAACGGGTGACGAGACATGGGTCTACGAGTACGACATGCAAACAAGCCAACAATCATCGGAATGGAGAGGAAAAGACGAGCCGAAACCGAAAAAACCACGCCAAAGTCGCTCGAAAATCAAGGCAATGCTGATTGTTTTCTTCGATATTCGTGGTGTGGTGCATCATGAATTCGTCCCTGAAGGACAAACAGTCATATGACTATTTTTGACTGTTTAAGACGTTTGCGTGAAAATATCCGCCGTAAACGGCCTCAATTGTGGAAGGATAATTCATGGATTTTTCATGACGATAATGCCCCCTCGCACCGAGCCAACATTATCAACGATTTTAAGGCCAAACATTCAATAAATACCATCGAACAGCCACCGTATTCACCTGATCTTGCACCGTGTGACTTTTTCCTGTTTCCCAACCTCAAATTACCACTCAGAGGAACGCGTTTTGAATCCATAGAAGACGTAAAACAGAATTCGCAGAGGGAACTCAAAGCCATACCGGAAAGCGCCTATAAAAAATGTTTTGATGATTGGAAGAAACGTTGGCATATGTGTATCGCTTTAGAAGGAGCATATTTTGAAGGAGATAAAATAAATATTGATGAAGATTAAGAATTTTGCGTTTTATTTAAAATTTCCGGAAACTTTTCGGTCACAATGTAAGATAACGTAAAAAATTAAAATTATATTTTCTTATTATAATTATAAATAAATTAGTTTGTTTTTGTTGCTTTTATTCCACAGAATTAAAAATATTGCAATTTTTCATTTAAAACTATTGCAATTTTTTTAGTTTAACGCTGTTCTTAAATTTTCTAAATATTTTTTGTTAGGCACAAAGTATGATTTCCTTTTTATTATTCATATCATTCTTTTTTTCTTTTTGTTTTTGTATATATTTGAACAGCCAAGTAACTTTCAATATCATGAAATGTTTTCGTTATGTTCTTATAAGAATTATAATTATTCTCAACGATATTTATGTATAATTTATCATATATTTGGGCTTAAGAATTGCAAAAGGTGGCTTGACATGGAAGGAAATGTTAATATAATATATAATATATAAAATTTATTAATTTATTATTTATCTTACGCCCGCATATCGATCAAAACATTTTACGAGTTTAATTACAATACATTTCAATTATTTGTAACATTAAAAGTATAAAGTAAATGAAATTAAAGTAACTTGGCTAATTTAAATTGTTTATTTCTATTTTTACAATTTTGAAATTTTGTATACATTATTTAATTTAATTGGAAAAATACTTTACAACTAAACTACATATATCACTATTTAATTATATCTAATGTTAGTTATTAACTATTTTTGTGTTTGCATTATATTGTAATATTGTATTGTATGTTGATATTTTTTTTAATTTTAAATCATATTTTCGGCTATATTTATTTTCTATGTTTAAACGAATCATTAGTTTACTTATTTCTTATAGTTTGAACAACAATATTTGAAATTAACCCAAATAACTATTTGAACTAATATAATGAACATAAAATACACAATTTATAAAGTGAAAATGAATTATAGGTTTAATGTGTGAAATAAACTAAAAAATGATATAAAAGCTATATATAGTTATTTCTGTTACGTTAAAAAAATAAATCAAAACGAAATTTACTTTAATTTTTTAAATATATTTTTTATTAATTTATAATACTAAAGTTAGCAAATAAAAAAATTATAATAAATAAGACAATATTAAATATATTCTCCAGTACGCTATTATGTGTAAAGCAAATATCTTTAAGCTTTCAAATTACTTTATGGTCATTTATTTTTTAAAATTTAAAGCATAAGAATTTGAAATAATATTTTTAAATTATATTAAACATAGTTAAATATTTTGTTAATACGTATATAAAATATTTTATTTTCAACTTAATTTTTGCATTATTCATTGAAGCATTTAAAATGCTATTTTATTATATAAATTTGATTTTTATAATTAGTTTTGGTAAACTTAAGTTTGGATAAAAAAGCATTTTTTATAGTGTGCTTATTTTACTTTTAAATCAAGCAATTAAAATTGCTTGTTTGGTTTATAGAAAATTAAGTTTTTGTTGAAAACAAAATTAATTAATTAATTATAATTTAAATTTAGCGAAAATAACTTATTTCTTTTCGTTTTGTATGTTGCGAATTTTTCATTCCTAACAGTTCAGTTAGGAATTTTTAATTTAAATTCTTATTTTTTTCTGCAATATATATTTCGTTCATATATATACTCTTTTATTTATATATATAAATATTTGTAAACGTATATATGTTTTTATATATAATTATGTGTATAAAGTTGTTTATTATCTTCCATATCAGCTTTTAAGTAGTTTTATATCCTTATTTTATGTTTTTAATCAGTTTCCTTTAGTGGCTTCTTTTGCGGCCATAATTAGCGGCGTCAGACTGGCTAATGGACGTGCTAGTTTAAGAAAAGGATGCTAAAAATAACAGAAAATGTATGAGACCTCATATATATTTTCTATATAATTATTTAAAAAATACCTTCAGTAACTCCGCAGCACCGGAACGACGTTCAACATCAACTTCCAAGCATTGATTTAAAAAATCTTGAAATACAATGGAAAGTTTTTCTTTTTCCTTAATTTCAGGCTTGCCATTTGTGGCAATAAGGTACAATGCTTTAAGTGGATTTTCGTTGAGATAAGGTGGCTCTCCTTCAACCATTTCAATAGCCATGATACCGAGTGACCACAAATCGACCTTTAAAGAAAAAATTATACGTTAATATTCTTAAACATCAGATGATTGTATAACAAATTGATTTTATCAAATAGGTCAAGTGAAAAGAAACAATCAGGGCACCAACAATAAGCTTAGCATTTTAAGTACGACAGTTTTTCGTAAAAATGGTTAAAAATGTTAAGTATTTTATACCAACTGAAGACGTATAAACACAATATTAGAAATTTCTAAACTTAAAAACTAAAACGACAATATATGTCATCAAACTTAAACGTCATCGGTAGTAGTGATGAGAAAGATCTAGTCTACATGCAAACGTTTATATAACGCAAGATCTGTAAAACTGGATTTTTGTTTAGAGACCTCCTTTTTTATTTATTTTTTTATATTTATTATAAAAGATTTTTATTTATTTTGATAGGATTTTTGGGTACATCTTTCGGGCTTATAGAAACATGTCTAACCACTACCATAAAAGCTATCGTAAACTTGACGGTATTACATAAAATATTTTAATAATAATGATGGATTATCTTTTTTAAACTGCATACTTAACAATCATCGACAATTATCTTTAAATAATTAAGGTAGGATAGGATATTTAAGATAACAGTAAGTGGAGCAAGAAATGGAATTTAAAGTTTATCATAAACTGCAGTTTTTAATTAGAGATTTACACTTATAATATTAATATAATAATATATTTCCTTTTCTTTTTATGTTGAGAGATATATATGGTACTTGTATAAGTGTTCTTATTTACATACCTTTGGTCCATATTGTTTGCGTGTCACTACTTCAGGTGCCATCCAGTATGGTGTGCCGACCATTGTTGTGCGTTTTGATTGCTCTGGTGAGATCTGCGCGCAGAAACCGAAATCAGTCAATTTTACTGATCCGTCAAGACCGAGTAAAATATTATCACTTTTAATGTCGCGATGAATAACTTGATTGGAGTGTAGAAATTCTAATGCTTGTAATACTTCACGGCATACAGCTGCAATTTGGCCTTCATCCATACAGGTTTCCGTAACAACATCTGTTAATGAACCGCCTGGTAAATACTCCATAACAACCCAAAGTTCTTCAGACACCAAATAGCTGTCGAGGTAGTTAACAACATTTGGATGCTTATTTTCTCGCATCACTAATATTTCATTAATTATAAGCTCTTTCTTCGGTTGTTGTGATAGGTTCATTTGTTTAATTGCTACTTCCATACCCGTAGAAGCTTCAATTGCTGTATATACCGTACCAGATGCTCCTTGACCAATTTTCTCCATTTTTGTATATTTACGATTTGGATCACCGACAGAAACAATAGTTCGTAATTTTTCAAGAATTTCTTCGTCGGACATTTTCTTCTTTTTCGCTGTGCCCGAACGTTGTTGGGCTACTCCTGCTGCGGCAGTAGGCGGTGTCGCAATCGGCTGAGTAGCTTGAGTTGTAGAATTTGCAGTTGTTGCTGTTGGAGGTGTGACTGCAGAAGCTGTTAAATTATTTGCGCTACCATCGTGCGTGTATATATCTGTTGTAATTGAGTCAGCAGGAGGTTCGATATTTACATCAACGGTCACAGTTGGTGTTGCCGGAGAAATGGTTGTAGTTGTGGTTGTGGTTGGCGTAGGCAATGGTGGTGTCGGCAGTGCGACAGATTCAATAATGGAGGAAGACAACGATGGACAATAAATTGGTGGTAATGCAGAGGAGTCGTCGTGATACGATGGAAACGATGAAAAGGAGGAAGCAGAAGAGTCGTGATTAGTCGTCGTTGCATTAAAATCGATAAATTGCAAATGAATACTAGTAGTAGAATTATTAGTAGTGGTAGTAGTCGTAGTAGTAGTAGTAGTAAGAGTGAAGTTAGTTGTGTCATAGTTAGTAGTGGTAGTAATATTAGGTATGGTACAAATGGAATCTGCTGCAGCAGTTGCTGCGGCGTTAAAAGCGTGCGGATGCGGTTGCGGCGCAGAGACAACACATGATGCTGTTGCTGCTGCTGCAGACGATGCAACAATAAAATTGTCGTTATTGTTAGCAAAATACGTTATACAATAATTAATAATATTAACGTTAGTATAAATATCAATTAAAATACAAAGAAAATCTACATAATAAGAAACGATATTTACTTGCGTTATTTTTGTTCTTATCTAAAGTTGTGGTTGTTGTTATTGTTGGAGCTTTATATTGTGGTTGCGCTATATTGTTAAGATGCTGTTGCTGCAATTGTTGATGCAGTGGTGTTGTAGGTGTTGTAGCAGGTGGTGGCGGTATCGTTGGTGTTACCTCTTCTATAGGTCGTGTATAAATGGATTTCGTGCGTTCTGGTCGTGATGCAACTGGCGGTGGTGGCGGTTGTGGTGTACCTAAAATATCATCTTCATTGGCTGACGAATGTTGTGATGAAGAGGAGGCTGTATTGCCACCAACAAAATTATATGAATGTGATTGACTAAGTGCGGTATGATGATGATTTCCATAATTATTACCGATATGAGGGCTACCAATGCCACCAGTTGCTGGTATATTATTGGCATTATTGCCTAAAGTAAGATTATTTATGTTGACACCAATCAAATTACCTCCACTGTTGGAACCATGTAACTCTGAATCAGTTGGTGTGCTACTAGGACTGCTGCTGCTAACGTGCGATAGTGAAGAACCTGTAAACAGTCGTTAATAATGCACAATATAAATAATTAAAAAGGTATGTGCGGTTATATTACCAGAATGCGTTGTTATAGCATTTGTCATGTATTTTGAACTTGCTCTCTGCTTGGTTGTATTATCATACCACTTGAGAACATCTAACACAGCTTGTGGATTTTTCTTTTGTTCCTGTTTGCTTATGTTTGAATTCATAAGCAAGCGAGCCCATGCTTCTGGCATACCCTGTAAACAAATAAATAGAGTATAAGTAAAATTTCTGTTATTGTTAAAAAAATTTTTTATCTAAACATAAATACGATTCGTAAATAGAGCTAAGCGCTACGCAGAACTATAACTATATTAGCTTAGCTTCATTTTTCATAAGCAAGTTCTTCACTTTAATATATATTATTTAGTCTTCTAATATTTAATAAAGATTAGGTATGTTAGATTAGATCATAACGAAAAATTAGAATTCACTGCAACCGATAGGGCGATGGTAATATTGGTGATTATTGAACTGAAGACCGAAAGGTTCTATTGTTTTAGATCAGTATTATTTGTTATTAACAAACTTGTGTTATATATCGGAAGAGATATTGTTTTATAATTATTATTTATTTTTATAAATTTAGACTATTTCTATTAGAATTAAATTTTATAAATTATAGAAAGTGCATAGAGATCTAGTGCCAAATATCGGAATATCGGATATATTAAAAACCGTACAGAAACTATTTTTAAGATTAAAAATGATTCATAAAAGCTAATTATTATTTATTTTAAAATATCAAAATTAAAAATGATTTATGGAGTTTTCTAAAAGAAATACTTTTATTGTTCTCTAGCTTCCTCTTAAATATTGGCTGTTTCTGTTATTATTTCGCTATTGTTGTATTGTATATATGCGTGCATGCGCATATATAAATATAAATAAGTATTGAGTATTAAATTTATTATTTCCTATTTATTTTTGTATATTTAAACTTTATAAAAATAATAGCAAAGAAACAAGTTCACTTTATAGTAACAAACTTTACCGTTAATTAATTAATTAATTTTAATTCAGTTCAATTTTTGAAAATTTAATTTATTTCTTTTTAATTTTAATCCTTTTCGAAAACCGTCTTAATTACGGTAGTAAATGATCTTAAGACTATATCATTTTCTGTGACATTTATAATGGTACTTCTTCTTCTTCTTTTACACCGCTTTTGCTGACACAAATACATTAATAGAAACAACATTATTTTATTACATTTGGTCTAATATTTTTGTAATTATGTAAGTATAAGAGTATATATATGTTGAGGCTAGTTGAGTTGAGTCAGTGCACCTGAGAACTTTTACTCTCTATTAACTGCGAGGTTTCTACAAAACCCCTCTTTGCGCTTTGACTGGATAAGAGTATATGTAGATATTTATGTAAGTAAATAACTAATTTGGTCACAAGTAATATTAATAGAATTTGCTAATAATTCAATTAATTAATTTAAAATTAATTGACAATTAAAAGAACAATTAATTATTAATTCATTTTTACAATTAAAGAAACAGTAACAAAGGAGTAAGTGTACTTTGTAATCCCGATTTATACACTTAAGTAATCAATTAATTTTTAATTTAGTTCAGTTCTGAACAAATTTTTCGATTTGAATTCGATATAATTTGAACTTTAAAAAACTTTTATTAATTATTTTGTTAGAAATGTTGAAGATTTTTTCTGCTAATGAAGCGGATATAACTTAGTTTCATTACAAACAATTTCTTATTTATTAAAAGCTAATTAATATGTGGACGATTATCTAGAATACATTGGAAGGATTTTATTTGTCTATATGCGCTTATTATAATTTAGCTAAAACTGTAATACTGTGCTGCTATAAGTCTATAAATTTATTTATATAATGCAGAAAAATAAATGTTTAAAAGCTTATGAAAACGAAGTAATTTCAAAAATAAAAAATAAAATATGCTCTTGGTTATAATTATAACAGTCAGAAACATGTTACTTATAATTAATAAAATAAAAACTAGTGTTTCAAAGGATAAAAAAGCATTATAAGTTGCTGTGTATATATAGAAATGTCATTTGTTTTTAATATTAATTAGAAAATATATTTTCATTGTTTTTATTAAACTTTGTTCGGAATGAAGCAAGATTAATACTTACTTTCATTGGCAGCTTGAAACAAAAGAAAAGAAAAATACAAATAATAAAAATATACTAAATGACAAAATTTCCCTAATAAAATTAGTAAATGACAAATTAGTTAAAAAAAATAAAATAGGAAACAGTATATGGTAGAGTATGAGATATACGAATGGAGACGCATAATATATTATCAATGAATTTCAATGCCCCTCTAGAATTTCAAATGTAAATAATTTTTGACTGTCAACACTCTCTTAACTGTTTATATGTGTCAATATCTTTAAAGATAAACATGAAAGAACAAGAACCACTGGAGTGAACTGACTTATTTTACACAATATTCAAATTTTTGAACTTGTTTAAATCGATCTCAATTGATTCAATTTCACCAAATGTGTTTTGACATCAACGGATTTCTCACTTTTAGTTTATTTCATTTTTTCTTCCAAGTACCTTTTCCGTTTCCAACATTAGCTAATATAATTGATTTTTTTTTTTAGCTACAATTTTGTGAAACCAAGTTGACATTGATTTATGATAATAAATTGAAATATAATTATTTTTCTCAAATAAATATTCAAATTGGTTATATCGATTTATTATAATAAATGGAACACCTAAAATCACAACTAACTACATTCTAATTAGGTTTTTTACAACATAATTGCGAGGTTCTACAAAATTAAACTGCGTCTGTGCAATTATTATTATTTATTCAAAACAGTCAATGTAAAAATTAAATACTTGTCTTAAATAATCGTCTTAAATGTAGTAAATCTAGTATTATGATTAGGCTTTTTTCACAATTCAAATCGTAATAAATATTACTTATTTATTTACATAATCTCACATATCAAAATATTCGAAAACCTATTCGTAAAATTGATAGCTATAACTGAATATTTTTATCATGATGTTTCTAATGATGTCCTTAAACATAGTTGTGATGACTATTTAACTACTATTGTTTTTCAACATTATTGTGCTATGTTAATTTCAACTTGCAAGAAACGATTAAATTTAATATAGAATCAAGATTTATTCACATTTAACATCATAAAGGGCCACTTTAGTCATCTTATATTTTGAAGGATATATACAATGAATAACAAAAAAAAAAAGAAAATGAATTAATTAGTTAGTGCCAATGTATGATATTTTATAGTTACTTTCATAAAAAAATTGCTTTAAACACCATAAATATATTTACATTTTTCGAGATATGTGAGCAACTTAATAATATTGATATTTTTAGTTTTTGTGAGTTTATAAAATAAGAGTGACAGTAAAGTGAAAAACAATTATTAGAATAGTTATGTACACTTGACTAAAAAAGTTATTAGCCTAGCCCTATAATATCTTATTAGTGGTACAAACTAATAAAAATATCTCTTTTATATAAAAATATTCTTCTCTTCCTCCGGTTATAATATAAACGAGTTCGAAATCAAGAATGTAAAATAAAATACTTATTGTTTATTATATATGTATATTATAATTAAAAAAACTAAAAACTCTGTTTACTCTCTCTCACTCTCTTTTTGGATAAAAAGGTTTTTTAATTTTTCGGATAAACTGAATTTTATTTCAGTTTATGTAAATAAAAATTGTTAAAATTTCTTCACTATTCCCTTAACCCATTTTCTATTCGAGATAGATTTCTTGCTATAAGACAAACAGATTTTTTAATTAGATATGGATTATTATATCTAATAACAACCTGCGGCCCCCTCCCCCTGGGTTTTTATGATCAAACAGGTAAGTAAGTATGGATTTATATTAAAATAAAATTTATATGATTTAAAATTATTTTATTATAATTAATATAATAAGGAGTAATAATATTCCATCCGTAAGGTCCGGTTCAGACATATTTAGTTCAAAAACACACTAGAAGACACAACCAGCTTAGATGCAAAGTTAAGCTGCTCTGCTATAAGCAACTTATTCGCCCACGACTCACCTACGCCTTCCCTATTTGGTTTGCAGTCTTCTTCCATCTCTGTCCTTTACGACAATGCCAAGATCACTCGCATTGACGAGTGCCTTTTGACGCTCGCTAGTAGGTAAATCCTCCGGCTCCATGACCTACCCCCTGACGTCTCTATTCCTATTAACCCCCCCCTGAAGATCTTGTTCTAGCCTTGCGCTTTAAACCTGCCCAATACCTGTCTGTCTCATCTGCTCTAACCTACCCCTTTCTCTATAACTCAATTTCCCTAATGTACGTCCTTGCTATTGGCTTAGATAAATTTGGCTCGCTAGGTACTAAGTCTATTTTCCTCCTGTCTCCCCTGATTACTGGATTGAAGTTTTCACAATGATGTGCAAATCACTCCTAAGAGGTGATTTAGTAAGTTCAAGTCTTACACGGTGGCTTTCGATGCTTCCACCTACTGTCAAAAAAAAAACAAAAAAAAAGACAAGGAATATGTTAATGAATTATAGAATAAAGAACCACAGCAATGGCAACAAAGGACATTAGTTAGGTTTTTTTTTTATTTATATATATAATTTCCATATAATTTATAATAAATATTATGGAAAAAGAAGGAGTATACACTTTTATATATAAAAGTGATATAAGTAATATTTTAAAGCTAAAACTATCATGATTTTAAGAAAAAATTCGTACCCGTAATCGGGTGAAATAGATGTTTGCAATAAAAGTTTAAACGTTCGATTTTATCTTTTTTAATGAAGTACCCAATCCTTCTTATATCATATAATATTGATTATACTGCATATATGTGCTAACTCTTTATAATTATATATGAGATTATTTACAAAATAAATAAATGTAATTAATACGAAATTTTTTCAACAGTGAGAAAAGAAAGTTCGCATTAGGCTTCATAATAAATGTCATATTGAAAGAGTTCTTAAATTGGTGTGCATAGATTAAAAATTGAACACGTTAGAGACTAACCAATAGTTTGATGAATAAGTACATAAACAAAACATACCAGAAAATTTATTTAATTATTTTAAGCTTTTAGATAGATATTTTCTTACAAATTTCACTAGGACGTTTTTCGTGGAAAATATGTTCATTCTATTTGGTTAATATAAGTCACATATGCGGAGA